AGAATGTGGGATTCTGATAAAGATGAAATTTCAATCCATTAGAAAAAATATTAATTTTTGAATAAATGGTGTTGAGACAAATGACCATCCAAGTGTGGGGGGGGCGGGGAGTTGGATCCCAATGCCTCACTACTTATAACGAAATTAATTCCAGATGAACTTAAGATTTAAATGTAAAAAATGAAACCATAAAAAGACTTATAGAAAACCAAAGGATTTTAAAAGTCTTTGTTTAACTTTTTATTTTTGTCTCCATCCAGGAAATATTTTAATCCAAACTACAATTTGCCACTTCTGAGAGATCCCTTTATACAAAAGTATCAAGGAATTGGCTAAGCCTAATTGGTTGAGAATCTGGTCTGTGTCACCTATCTAGTAAACAAAGCGAAGCTACAAAGACAAAAGAGAGAAGTTCTGAAGATTCCAGCTCCAGCCTGAGTAAATTAATCCCTATTTCCGTACTGGCAGAACCCATCAATGCACTATAAATGTTATTTCCTGCTGCAAGAGAGGTTTCTGACTTGTATTGTATAGGTCTTGTACAGACCTAATAAGAAACAAAACCCAGAAACTATCATGGGAAAGTTGTAAAGTTAGCTACATTTAAAATAAACTTTTTTCATAGAAAAAAAAATGTCATAACCAGTCAAAACACAAATTGTTAGCAAAATATCTGCAGATGACTGGCAATGGCTGAATGTCCTTAATATATAAAGAACTCTTACAAATCAACAAGGAAGAAACCTAACAATCCAAGAGAAAATAATGAACTAAGTACAGAATAGGCCATTAACATCCAGGAAGAAAAAATGGAAATGGCTTAGAATCGCATCAAAAGATGCACAACTTCCTTCATAATAAATTGAACAGAAATTAAGGCACGATGTCACATTTCATATATTGGATTAAGAAAGTTTACCAGCTCTGAACATTGTTAATAATATGGGAAAACAGGTGCTGCTGCTTAGAATACACATGTTCATCCTCTTCAGATGACAATCGGACAATATCTTGCAAAAGTTTCAATGCACATACCCTGACCCAGCATATGCACTCCCACAAATTTATCCATGTATATCGAGGTATACTTGTACATGTGTGCAAAATGAAACAAGGATGTTATATTGCAGCATGTATAGTATGAAACACTTTTTAATAATATCTATATGTCTGTTGACAGGTCCATACAACTGAGGCCATTAAAAAGACATACTTGTACACACAGAATGGCCTCCAGAACACATGGTGAAGAGAACCATCAAGGTAGAACACAAAATATTATACCCTATGTGTCCAGAAACAGCCTCTTCTTCCCTTCATTAAATGTCTCCAAAGGGATACACAAGAAACATCAACTGTGGTCTCCAAGGAGGGGTCTCAGGTGAGAAAGAGGCTTATTTTTCAGTCATTTTTTCCCCCTACCTTTTAATTCTTTACCCCATGCGTGGATTGCTTTTACAACTAACGTAACAATGTTTTATTCCAAAAAAAAAAAAAAAAAGTACAAAAACCAGTCATAATAAAGGCTCTCTCTAATGACAAGTAGCAAGAATATACTTGAAGAAGCCTTAGTGATAAAGGAGAACGCAGTGGCCGTGTCTCAGTGCATCTCACAGTGTGGTGCCGCCTGGCCTGTGGGGGGCTGGGAAACAGCTCTCCACCCTGTTTCTGACTCCATCACTCCTTTCTGTCCAGCCACACGACCCATTTCTGCCCTTTTCTCTCTGCTTCATTCTCCCTGCCCAGCGTAGAAGGTAGTAGGGGAGGCAGCATCAGCTCCAAAAACGACTTGTCCTCACCATCCAGCAGCCACAGCTGACTCCTCAGAATCCCTGAGCCCCTAAGGCAAGTGCCCACATCAGGGCCCCCAGTGCCATCGTTTAGGGCCATGGAAGTGAGGACAGAGAACTTACCGCTCCTTCACAAGAGTCTAGCTGAGGCATGACTCTTGTACCATCAAAATAAACATGGCAGCTCCCACTGGTATTTGGTGGATGAAAGATGGAACTGTTACAAATACTGGGGAGCAGGGACAGTGAGACAGGGGATAGCCTATGGGAAGAAAGGGCCCACAGATCTCCCAGAGGTTGGGCTGTCTGAGATGTTACGGAGCTGCTTCCTGGCCACATGGGCCAAGGGGCGTACAAGGCCAACCTTGTTCAAGTGGAACACGTCTCACTGTTCTTGTGACATCTCATGGGAAGTCTGGCTCTACTCTGGACTAGACACGGGTGGCTCAGTTCCCCTTGGAGCAGCAGTTATCATCTGGCTTTGGTTCAGCTGCTGGGCAGGGCCTTGGAGGAGTCTTAGCGGAGTGGGGAAAGCTATGGCATGAGGCAGAAGTTCTTTTGGTCTCAAGTCTAGGAGCTTGGAGCCCAAACAAGACAAGGCTCTTTTCCAACTGTCATGGGATGGATGTGTACCACAGTGGAAGGAACACTGGGCAGCATCTTCCTTCTCATCCCAATATATGCCCTTACTCGGGGGCGCATATGCCAATGGCCGACCCACCGAGACCGTGTCACAGTGCCTGGAGCGCCGCCTCCACTTTGGTCAGGCACACACACCCCAGCTGCCATCATCCACGCCCTGGAGATCATCGCCCTCTTGACCTCTAGTCCTCTCCCAACTAGACTCTTCGACACTGTCCCCTCGAGAGACCACCAGCCAATCATGGACGCAAGTCTGAGAAGCAATGCTATCTATCAACTACTGCTGATAGATTCTGAGAGTGCGCAGAACCTGAGAAGGTGGCCGGCGTCTTCTCTTTCAGCTTCCTAGTCAGAGGAGAGTAACATCAATATTACCGTTAACAGCAACAACACAAACTCATCGACGAGATCGTCAGTGATTAGAGTGGCAGTAAAAGAAGGCACAGTAACAGTAACAGGAGGGGAGCAGCAACAGTGAATCCACAGAGCCGTCACGTCCCAGGCACTGCACACACCTCTCTTAATCCTGATGAGGCAGGACCTGTCCGCATTCTGTAAGTGAGGAACTGAGGCACAGAGCTGTTCAATAATTCACCTCAGATCTCACACAGCTTTTGAGACGGATACCCAGGTGAGATTCTGAATGCAATTTCTTAATTTCATCTATTGCTGTACATTCTGAGTCTTTCCTTCCAGCGAACAAAGATGACTTTAGAATCAGAAAACAAATATATGCACCCAAGGTGTGGCCACCCACTGTTCACTCGTGCTGGGTCGCCTCCACGTAACTCTTTTGAGTCCCTGCTGCAGGATTCTAAGCACCAGCGATACAGCCCAAAACAGAACGAGGTGTTTACAGTCCAGCGGGGGAGATAAACAGGCACAGCGCCTTGTAGATCAGTCACATGGCAGTCGATGCTTTGGAGAAACATAAGCAGAGGGAAACAGTGGAGTGTTTTGGGCAGGCGCGGTTGCTATTTTAAACAGAGAAATCTGGGAAGGCCTTGCTGAGCTGATGTGTGTCATGACAGGAGGCAGGCAACTGAGCCCAAAGGCATTGGGAAGAGGGCCCCCCCAGAGGGAACAGTGACTGCAGAGTCCCTGAGGTGAGCACATGCCTGGCACGTTTGAAGAACGGCAGGGAGGCCACTGGACAGTGAGCGAGGTGAAGATGGGAGAAGATGGGGCCGGCCTAGAGACAGTGCCTATAAATCAAAACGCTATCGCCAAACCAAAAAGATTACGAAGTAAAACAAGTGAGGTAACCTGTGTTATGGTTGGAAATATTTGCTGCCTCTCACCCGGGACGACACCTCACTGCCCCAGTGACGTTAGGCTCGGTTGTGGACTTGCTGTGGCAACAGGAGGTGAGCGTGCATGGGGAGTGCCACTTCTGAGCAGCAACTGAGCCTCTGCATGGACCCACCTGTCCTCCTTCCCTCTGCCATGAGACCTGCAATGTCCCAGGAGAGAGGCTGCTCCAACAAACCCCAATATCTTTGCTGCCACTCGCCGCTGCAGCCCAACTTATGTATGATAAAACTACCGGAATTACTGCTTCTTTAGAGGCTGAAATTACTTTGACAGCCTCTAGACACCTATCAGAATGGCTAAAATAAAAATAAAGTGGGCATTCCAAGTGCTGGCAAGGATGCACAGCAAAAGAAAGTATTATTTCTTGCTGGTAGGAAAGCAAAATAGTACAACCACTTTGGAAGGGATTAGGATGTAGACATATCGGGGAGGCCATTACTCCCCGACGGGGGTTCTTGACGACTGTATGGGGGAAGTTGCCCTCGGGGGATGGAGGAAGGCCTGGGTCTGGAACTGAACGGTTTACACTAGCCCTACTGGCCATGCGTCAGGCAGGACTTCTAGGCAATGCCCTGGGCCTCTGGCCATCAGCTTCCTGCAGCTGCAGCTGTCGGCGCCGATGCGATGAAGCCCAGCACTGAGTTTTCGTGCCTCCAGATCACGGCCTGCTGCAAATGCAGCGCCTTCCTAATGCGTATGACAGCAACAGGCAACCCGGCAGTGGCCCTGCCGGGGCGTCTGTGGGAGCAGGCCAAAGGAACGGAGCGCAAGCGGACCAGAACGAAGAGGGAAAGGGCAGGAGGGAATTTTCTTTTAAGGCTGCTAGTTTTCTACCATCGCCATAACAAATCACCACAAACTTAGCAGCTTACGGCAACACACATCTATGATCTCTGCCTTAACTAGCTCAGTGGCCTTCGCAAGTCCAAATTCACAGGAGAGCAAAGCCCGGGCTTTGACACCACGTCAGCCAGCTTAAGCAGCTCTTAAGTGGCCAGCACACCTGTCTCAGGGGAGAAGCTCCCAGGTCAGCCCAGACCTCTTCCAGGCCCACCCTACCCTCTCCTCCATAGTAACATCCCCTCACAATCCAAGTCCCAAAGAAGGAAATGATTCTTATGTCCTGTGTTGTGGGACACTCATATGAGACGCTTCTGCCTGGTTACCCCCCAAATAAGTTACGGCTGCCCTATGACCCTGATCTAGACCTTTCTGGTAAAAAAAAAAAGAAAAGAAAAGAAAAAAAAAGAAACCCAAAATTCATCACCTTTTTATTCCTTATCAAGTTATGACAGCAACAATGTATGATTTATAATAGAGAAAAAAAATCAAATACAATTGTAGTCCACTAGGAAAGCCAGGTTTATTTCTCCATGATCAATGTCCACTCTACAGTGACATGTACACATATCTTCACATGGCCATCATAATAGTAAATCTTCTACTTTATGCTTGTTTTTATTGTTGCCTGCTGTATCATGAGCATTTTCAATAAGGCGACAAAACCTTTATCATTATGGTTCAGCAAGGAACAAATCAGAAGTGTCCTAAGTGAACAACAATGTAAGGGAACAAGGTAAACATAACTCAGTACTTTTTGTTATAACAACTAAAGCGGCATATCACACTTATTGACAGCAGCCCTTTCCATCTCAGTATAAGCGGGCTTCAGTCTTAAGAAAGATAATGCCACTGTTCACTCATAAGCAACACTGTCGTCCAAATAAGTGCTCCTTCTGAAATGAGTCATCGGCATCTGGCAAGACTGTAACACACACACACACTCAAACGGCAATCTACTCCAACACTGTGGTTGCTGAGACGTGCAACACTGAGGAGCTCCTGCCAAAAGCTGCTCTCACCGCTTACACATGGTTCCGGTTAAGAGTTCACTTATGTACAATAAGGCAGACACGCCCGATTAAACGATCCCTCGTACCGATTAGTTACTGAACACATTCACAGGTTCTTTGCAGTTTACACACTCTGACGCGGGAGCAGTTGGCTGTCTCCAGGGAAGCGTCTTCCTGACAGACATCCACTGGTTTTACTCCAGTGTATCTTGCTTGGTACAGGCTGATCATCCCTGAAGCCTTTCCCACATTTATTAGCATTTTATATTCCCTCCGGGAGTCCCCTAATGTATCAACTTAATAGTATGGCTAAGGAATGTCTCACATTCATCAATTCACTGGATAGGGTAGAGAAATACTTAAAAGCAAATTTCTATATTTAAAAGCCACGTGTGTAACGTGACCCTATCCATGCAAAAACATAAACACATAAAGAGATGGGGAGAGAATGGTCACCAGAATATTAATGATTATAATCTCAGGGGGTGGGATTGCAGGGACTTACTTTTTTCCTTAAACTAAATTAAAAAATCTCTTTTGTATTGACGAGGAGGAGTCATCCCTGAAGACATCCCTCCTTCACACAGGTTTCTGAGAACGTTCAGGAGACAAGTAGGCCTGCGTTCATTACGTTTCCACGGCTTGCTCTCCAGGGTGTGTGCTCTGATGGCGGACGAGGGCCGAGCTCCTTCTGAATGTTTTCCCACACTGAGGACACTGGCTGGGACCCCCCCTGCTGTGGAGTCTCTGATGCACCGCCAGGTGCGAGTTCTGCTTGAAGGACTTTCCACACTCCGGACACTGGTACGGGGTCTCCTTAGTGTGAATTCTCTGGTGCTTGGTCAGACAGGAGCTGTCCCTGAAAGCTTTGCCACACTGACTGCACTCGTAGGGCTTCTCGCCAGTATGAGTCCTCTGGTGCCGGATGAGGCCGGCGATGTTCCTGAAAAGTTTCTGACACTGGTCACAGCCGTAGGGCTTCTCGCCGGTGTGAATCCTCTGGTGCCGGATGAGGTAGGCGCTCTCGATGAAAGTCTTCCCACACTCCGCACACTCATAGGGCTTCTCCCCAGAATGGATCTTCTGATGCACGATGAGGTGAGAGTTCCGGTTGAAGGACTTCCCGCACTCCCCACACTCAAAGGGCTTCTCTCCGCTGTGAGTCCTCTCGTGTTGGGTGAGGTACGAGCCGTCTCGGAAAGCCTTGCCACACTTGCCACATTCGTAGGGCTTCTCCCCAGTGTGGATTCTGAGGTGCACGGTGAGGTGGGAGATGTCCGTGAAAGGCTTCCCGCACTCGTTACATCTGTACGGCTTCTCCCCTGTATGAGTTCTCTGATGTAAAATCAGGGAGGAATTCCGGTTGAAGGTTTTCCCGCATTCTAAACATTCGTAAGGCTTCTCCCCAGTGTGAATTCTCTGGTGCTGTGTCAGAGCTGACCCGTCGCTGAAGGCTTTCCCACACTTACTGCATTTGTAGGGCTTCTCTCCTGTGTGGATTCTTTGGTGCACAATCAGGTTGTAGTTCTTGGAGAAGGATTTTCCACACTCATTACACATGTAAGGTTTCTCTCCAGTGTGAGTTCGGTGATGCAAAACGAGAGAAGAGTTCCGTTTGAAGCATCTGCCACATTCGGTACATTCGTACAGCTTCTCTCCAGGGTGACCCCTATTTTCATTCCGAGATGAACTCAGGGTAAGCGTGTTCCCAAAGCCCTTGCCTTCTGACAGTTTCTTCCCTCTTCTCGTTATTTTTTGTTCATCAAGAGGGGGAAAATGGCTGAACGACTTAACACTTTCAGGGTATTTATGGGGTTTCTCTCTCATTTGATTTCTTCCAAGCTGAATAATTTCCATGGAGTGACTGAAGGCTTTTCCACAGGCATCACTGTCACCAGTTATCTTAGACACAAAACTTTTCTGACAACTGTGTACAGCTGGGTCATAATCCAAACTGCGAACTTCTGAGTCATATATATGGAAACCGTTTGTTGCAGGAACCCTCCGAGAGGGTGGAAGGTCTGAGCCTGCACTCAAAGGCCCCCCAAGTCCAGGATATTCACAAACTGACTCCCGAGCCCCTGGCTTCTCCTGAGTTAAAGCTGAATTGCACAGATCTCCCTCCCAGTTCTTACAGTCCCAATTATCACCCAGAATGGAAAAATGGGGACCCTCTCTCATAAATCCTTCCATTTCCACGTCACAGGGTAGTTCTTCCTCAGGAATATTCTGAGCTGTCATTTTCAATCTCGTGTTCAAGGCTGAAAAGTAAAGAATGAAAAGGACTTCAGTATATGAAGCTATGTTTGGAAGAGGAATGAAAAACGATGACCAGCCAGGCATATGGATGTGTATTTTTACTTGTTTCCTTTCTCAAATTCCCATCCATACAAGGAGGAGACAAGTGAGAGTCAAGAGATGGAGGCAAGAACAGGTTCAAAGTTAGCGACACAGTATTTTCATCCTCTCAAAAAATAAGAAGGCCGGTACTGGGAAATATTACCAACGGAATTAGCCTGTGACAGGAGAGACCAGAGGCCAGTGTCATTGCTCACAACGGAACACAGTCTTGGTCACTGTGTGCCAGTCCCCATTACCTGCTGCTCCTACGACAACCAGCACACGTTTTCAAAGCCTCAACTTCACAATGTGTGTATGACGGTGCTGAACAAGCAGACGGCGCTCCACCTTTGTGGTCGGAGTTCTGCCTTCACAGATGGGGCACAGTATAGGCTCCCTGACCTTGAAGATCAGAAAGTCCTAGATCTGTCAGTGACCAACTTGCAGGGTTATTATGAGAGTCTGATCACATCTGAGGCTGCCCCTGAGCTGGGGAATGCACAGCGCTCCATAAGTGGCTGCCACTGTCATCACCGTTATCGATCTTCAATCAGTTACCAAGATAACTGGCTGTCCGTATAGTTTTTAGGTAAAATGAAATTAGACCCTTCCCCCTGACAAAAATTTAAAAATTTGAGGTGGATAAAGACCTCGCTATAAAATCAAAGTTTAAATTATGTAGGATATCTTTACAAATGGGGCAGTCCAAGGCTTAAGAAGAAAAAACAACATAGACAAAGATTAACAATTTGATATCAACAGGAAAAGTTTCCACGCAACAAAAGACATAATACGAGTCAAAATACAAGTGGCAAGTGGAGAGACAATATTATGAAATATAAAAGCAGCGAAGAAATAATGCCTCAAATCTATAGTTTTTACAGAACAGCATAAAAAAGGGGGAAAAAAACGATACAGAGGAACTAAACAGAGAGAAAATGGAAATGTCCTGAAAACATGAATATCTGCTCATTCAGGCAATTATGAACTTCAACTTTAAGAACACAAAATATACATATTTTATAAGTAAAAGTAACACGATGTATGATGTGAAGCTTGGGCAGGCATTTAGGAAGAGAGTTGGCGGGCATGGACAGTGGTCAGCCCACTTGGCAGGCTAACTTGGCAGTAGCCGACAGAACACAAAATGGGCACGTCCCTCCACCCAACAATCTGCCTTGTGGGCATGCCAGGCTCAGGAAGCACGAGTCCCGAGCATAGGTGGACATCGACCTATACCAAGGACACAGTCTCAAAGGCCAGCAGGGAGAAGACAGACCACTGGTGAAGGGATGAAAAGTACTGTCATGGACCCCTTGATAGCAAAATAGAAACCCACAGGTAATGGAGGTTACTTTCAAAGTGCTGAGGAAAAAACTGTCAGCTGCATTATTGTTCAAGAGGAAAGGTAAGATAAAGGACAGCTTCAGAAAAGCAAAAGCAGAGCTTACCTTCGAGGATACTGCCAAAAGAATTAGCGTTGTTCTTCAGGAAAAGCCCAGAAGGAAAGAATGGAAAGAAAAGGAAACGATGAATGTGTACTTAGATCAAATTCAGTACTGACCATAAAATGCAGTAGTAATAATGACTCAGGGAGTTAACAGCACGATGGTCTAAAATACCAGGTGGCAGTGTCCTGTGAGATGGGAGAGGGGTAACAAACTTAAGTGTCCTGCCGTCCTTATATTGTTCATGATTCATGTGAGACCTGGTCAAGTAAGGAATAAAATAAATGTCGTGTAAAACTTGCAAGCCCGTAGAGCAGTGGTTTTCAACCAGGGGCAACTTTACCCACAAAGGACACTTTGGGACGTCTGGAGATGTTTTTGGTTGTCATTAGTAAGGGAGAAGTGCCACTGGCATCTAGAGGGCAGAGGTCAGGGATGCTGCTAAACAGCCTTTAATTCACAGGACAGCCCCTCACAATAGAATGATCCAGCCCCAAATGACAACAACAGTGCTGAGGCAGAAAAACCCTGTTGTAGGAGGGAAGAATAATTAAAAAAATAAAAACCAGATCAATCCAGAAGAAGGTGGTAAGGGATGAAAGCCCAGAAAGGACAGGTGAAAAAGTATCACCAATAAATATACGTAAATGGCTTCGATGGGACAGATAAAGACACCGTGTCACACTGCATTAAAATGTTTGTAACACACATACCTAAAGCAAAAGGACATAGAAGACAAAAGCAAAAATTTAGAAGAGACAAATGCCAACCAAAGATTTTATGGCTCTTTGTTAACCAATGATAAACTTCAAGTACGATAATGGCAATATAACAGTGGTAAAGATGCCTACATTAATACAATGCCTCAAAACACAGCAAAGTCAGCCAGCATTGCAAGTCAAAGTCAGCAAATTCAACCATAATGGGAGGTTTTAATGGACCCCTTTCAGAAATGGAAATTCAGAAAAACTGAATAGAGACACTTGGAGAGAATGAAATTAGCCAGCCTGATTACTCAGCTGGATGAAGAGTGAAGTATCAACAACTAGAGATAGACACTTTCAAGCATAAGTGGAACATTTGCTAACACTGGCCATAAACCAGGCCAAGATACAAGTTCAACGAAGGCCAGACCACAGCTTGACACAGACCACAGCCTCTTGACAACAGATTTGGTCAAGAGAAAAACCAGTAACAGAAAACCAAATACAAGAAAAACAAGAAGTAAAACAAACCCCAATTTATTTATAAAAATGAAAAGCTATTTCGCAGTAATTCACAGAACAAAGAGAAATCTAGACAGAAATTAGAAAACACCTAGAAATGAACGACAATGGGAATGGTACATCTCAAAACATGTAGCGAGTGAGGATGCAGCTAACATAGTTCCTAGGCGGAAAATGTTGGTCTTTAATGCTTATAGTAAAAAAAGGAGACTGTAGGTTTAGTGAGCTCACTGTTCAACTTAATGGAAAGAACCATGAAGTAAACCAACAGGAGGTGGAAGGCAGATGATAATAAAGGTATAAGCAGAAATTACAGAAACTGAAAACAAAGAAACAGCAAGAAGATAAAGAAAACCAGAAGTCTGTTATTTGAAAAGACTAATGAAATAGACACACCTTTAACAAGAGTGGCCATTAAAAAAGAGATAGGAGACACACAAAAGTGATAGTTATGCAAAGGGATTTGAACTAGGAAACAGTAAAATGTTACAGACATGGCATTACTGGACGTATCCTAGGAATGCAGGGCTGAGGAGCATGACAGCATCTACTCACGCAATTCTCCGTACTTTCAAATAAAAGAAAACAATCCCCTGCAGCCTATCTCAGTAAGTTCATAAAGTACTAATTTGAGGAAATCTTGCCCAGACTTATGACCCAAATGCTCTTAGACAAAAGTAGTAGACCCCTTTATCCTATGTCAATAAATTGAGAAGGTACTTTAAAGCAAGCTCCAATTCATGATGAAAATTCGTAACCACCAAGACATAGGGAATTAACATAAACATCATACTTAATGAGTAAACATAAGGATTGTTCGCTCTGAAGCGAAGACTAAGACCTCGGATGCCTGCTAATGTCCACAGCATTTGACAGTGATGTCAGGATGGTGCCTCCTGCTGTCACTCCTGGAAGCTTATACTGAAGCCTCCTAAGGCTGCTCTGCTTATACTGAGGCCTCCTAAGGCTGCTCTGCTACCAGACCACGTGTTCTCCATACTGGACCTTCTGAATGGCTTGTGGTCGTCCTGTGAAAAACAAGAGATGGAAAACGAGAAAAACGAGAGCACCTTCCCATAGGTCTGTAGGGGGAGGATGCATGTGTGCACTTTAAAGAAGTCAGTCAGACATATATAGGATGATACCACCGAGGGAAATTTTTTAGACAAAATATTCTGGAAGTAAAAATATTGAAATGTCCTGGAAAGACACCTACGAAAGCTGTGATCACAAGGTCTTGGGATATGGAGGGAAACGAGCCTTGAGGAGCAAAGGGAAAGTCCCTTTCATCTATAACAGACACTCCCTTTATTGAAATAAGGTTTATATACCACTAAGAAAGTGAAAAGATGACCCACCAAATGGGAGAAAATATTTGTAAAGTACATATCTGACAAAAGACTTATATACAGAAAATATAAAAAGAGGATGTGGAGAAACTGGAACCCTCACGCACTGTTGGCGGGAATGTAAAGCGGTATTGCTGCTTTGGAAAACAGCCTGTTTCTTGAAAAGTTAAACACAGAGTTATCACAGGACCACTCCTAGGTATCTAAATCAAGAAAAAGCCAAACATGTGTCTACAGATAAGCTTGTACATATATGTGGATAAACAAAATGCGGAAATCCACACAACTGAATATTCTAATATTCCTCAGCCATTAGAAGAAATAAAGAACTGATACATCTGAACCTTCGAAACGTTATGCTCAGTAAAAGAACTCAAAACACAAAAGACCATACCTTTATAATCCAATTTATATGATGTACAGAACAAGTAGTTCCATAAAAACTGAAAGTCAATTAGCGGTTGTCAGGAGCGGAAAGAAGGGGAAGGGGGAATAACTGCTAGTGGGTATGGGGTTTCTTCTCGGGCTGATGAAAACAGCTGGAATTACACAGTGGTGACGGCTGCAAAACTTTGTGCACAAACCTAAAACTACTGATTTGTGCATTTTGGATGAATCCTATGATCTGTGAATCGTACCTCAATAAAGTTGTAATAAGTAAAGTTATACCTTCAAGAACAATGCTTGTGATGCTAAACACAAACATGTCCCCTATATAAGGGACAAGTATCCCCCAGCCTGACCTGAAGCTCTTAACTTTGGCAGTATCCCCTCGGGGCATCTGAAAATCTGTGAAGGTGTTAGGTTGTCACAAAGGTGGAGGCAGGGGGAACAGCTCACATCTGCTAGGCTGGGGGTAGAGAGGCATATTTGCTACCACGCCTGGGACTGCTCCACGTGGTGCTTGACCGTCCTGCGTCCCAAAGTCCCTGCAGGTATCAACCTGGAGTACTTCAGAACAGCAATACTACATGTGTTGTAACACTTTAGAAAAAGAGTGTGCCTTCATTTAGGAGAAGGAAGCTCAAAGGAAATCCAGATGCTGCTATGAATTCACGAAATCATTCCTTACTCTGTTTCTCTCTCCGTGACGAAACTGGCTGTTCCGACTATACTCTCAGTCAATGAGGGTGTGAGTGCCATTGGGAGGTTACTGGGGGAAAAAAATGTCACCAGTACCTGTGAGGGTATTAGGACAGACTGCTGGAAAAGCATATTAAATCAGGCTTTTAATGCAGGAATTGCACTCTATTTCATTAATCAGGGTTGTTTTAAAATGTCTAATCTTATTGCTCTCATATATATTTCTATATTACTATTTTTAGCAAAATAATGACACAAAAATAATGTAAAAAATTCATCTCCATGCTGTTCACATATTTTGGGGGTCTGCCATATTCCCCAACTCCTTATCGGACCCTGTGCTTGGATGTCCACCATACCACTTCTCTGCAGCCCCAGCCTATCCTTTTCTTCCCCATGGCCAATGAGAAGGTGATCTGCAAGACTTTCTACACGCTGAATGTTGCCCCAGCACATGCTGAGACCTCATGTCTGGAGCACTTTCTGTGATAAATTATCCCGATGCTGTTCCAGGTCAGAGCACAGGGGTGATTGACCCTTTGCCTGTGAATAAGGACAGCCTGGGTTGCCTTACTGTGTAAGTGCCTAGAACCTGCTTCCAAGGTACATTCTTCCTTTCCTGTTTAATACACCTGGTCTGGGTCCATTTCCAACACCCACTTGTTCCAGCAGCATCCACCCATACCATGCCCCATTTTATCTCTCTGAATATAATGAATTCTGTTCTGTTTCTCTTAATCCAAACCTAGTCTGCAGCACCTAACTGTTTCCCATTTCTTCTAGGGTAGCTGTGCCCAAGCATTGAAATATAGAAATATATATTTTAACACAAATACCTTTCCTTTTACTGATTCTTTATGTGCACACAAGACTTTAGAAATTTTTTAATTTTTGAATATGTAATATTATCTATAAAATTCCTCTTAGGATGATAAAAGGCACATTGCAAACTTGATCATAAAGAGTGAAGATTACACAAATATTAACTCAAAATGGATAACAGGCCTAAATATAAGAGCTAAAACTATAAAACTCCCAAAAGAAAAACACAGGTGTGTTAAATTAAAAAACATGGACATATCAAAAGCACAAGTGAAAAACATAAATAAAACCTTTTGTGCTTCAAATGACATCAGTAAGAAAGTAAAAAGATATCCACATAATATGAAAAAATATTTGCAAATCTTGTATCTGACGAGGTACTGGTATCCAGAATAAATAACTCTTCCAATTAAATAATAAAAAGGTTAATAACCCATTTATTAAATGGACAAAGGATCTGAATAGACAGTTCTCTAAAAAAAGATATACGAATGGCCAATAAGCACAATGAAAACATGCTCAACATCATTAACCATCTGGAAAATGCAAATCAAAACCACTGTGAGATACCACTTCACAGCCAGTAGGATGACTATAATCAGGTCCACTCCTAGGTAGTTATCCAAGAGAAATGAAAACATATGTCCACAAAAACAATAACAACAACAAAATTTAAAAACATGTTCACATAAGCATTAGTTACAATACCTAAAAAGTGGAAGCAACTCAAATGTCCATCAATCAATGAATGAATAAGCAAAATGTGATATATCCATACAACAGAACAGTACTCATCCAGAAAAACGAACTAAGTACTGATACATGTTACTATATGGATGAATCTTGAAAATACTACGCTGAGTGAAAGAAGCCAAAACAAAGAACTACATATTGTATGGTCATTTATATGAAATGTCTAGAATAAGCAAATGCAGAGACAGAAAGTAAATTATTGATTATCTGGGGCTGGGAGGGATGGAGAAATGGGGAGTGACTGCTAATGAGCATAGGCTTTCTTTTCTCAGATGATGTAAATATTCTAAAATTGTTATTGGTGATGGGTACACAACCTAGTGAACATACTAAAAACCACTGAATTTTACACCTTAAGATAGTAAGTTATATCGTCTGTGAATTATATCTCAATAAAACTGTATCATAAAAATAAGCAGGTATCGAGTCTGTCAGGATAATAACCACTGGTCTAGATCCCACCTGGTAAGTTTGTGGTACCTTCAGACTTCACGAGAGAAGTAACAATTTCATAGGGATGTGCCAAGCTTGTGTAGAATTCTATTCCCAGACACTCACCTCTGAAGGGCTTTATCTCCAGTCTCCATGACCTTGCAGAGACATCCACTTAGGCTCAATACCTGGATGTTTGACATCAATGGCTGCCAGACTTTAGCTGTCCAACCCCATCGACATGGTTCCCGCCATCTCTGTGAAGCACACATGATGCTAACTTTATTTGTTCAAATGATGCATTCTTTAAAAAAAAAAAAAAGTTTATTATCAACTTTAGCCCTGTTTTTTCCCCCATAGCAAAGTCACCCACCTACCAATTGTGATTGAAACTGACTCCATTTTTGATGACTGCTGACCGCTTTCAAGCCCCCCGCCCCACGACCTACTGTCTCATCTCCTTCCATTCCACAACTAGGCAAGCTGACAAGCCTGAGTGCTTTCTTCTTGGAGTTAGCAAAGGTTCGAACCACGCAAATCCCAATAAATGCAAGGCCACCAATAAATGCAAGGCCACCGTAATCCCAGCTCCACTCTCTAGTCACAATAAAAGCCCAACAGTCTCCTTCTGCTCTCTCAGGCTATTTTTGGATCACCTTGGGAAGCCTGCCCTTTTCTCCCAAGACAATCTCATTATGTGAATAATCGACCTTTTATACTCGTGGTGTGTGTGAGTGTAAAAAATAAAGAGTGTCTATATGTGTTCGAGGCAGGGAAGAATGAAAGGTAAAGCTAATGTGGCAAACTGTTATCTTGAGAATCTGGATGGTTTTACAAGTGTTCATTGAACTATTCCTGCAACTTTTCTATAGGCGTAAAACTTTTCAAAACAGGAAGGTGGGTGAGAAGGGAGAGAAAGCAAGCGATAGAGTGAAGGAAAGTTACTTGCTATGGGGGGAGGGCTTTGGGAGGGGACAAAGCCTTGGTGTTCAAAACGTATTTTCACAAGTCCTCTACAACCAAATTTTTTCAATTGGCAAAGAATAAGGGAACTTTCTGAGGTGACGACGGTCGGTTTGACAAAAGTTTGGGTTGCATTTGTCAAATGGGTTGCATTTGATCCACTTGGTACAATGAAGATCTGCGCAATTCAGTGTTAAGTCAATTCTGCCTCAAAAAAAATTTGCAGCAATAGATGGTATAGAATTATAACTGAGTTAAGCAAAGTGTTTGAGGGGAGAAGCGCAGTGATAACTGCCACTTAATTTAAATGCATCCCCAAAAGATTTAATGAATAGGTAAAAGGATGGGCAGAGGGAAATATACGGGTCACAGCAAGTATAGCAGATGTTAATGCGTCAGTATAAGGTCGGACAAAGATTTCGACTGGTCTATACGTATGAAAACTTTTATCGTGAACTATACTGGGGAGCCAAGGAGATGAACCACTAAACCAAGGAAGAAAGCGAAATGGTCAGTAAACAGGTGAAAAAACGCGGCCCCCATTGGGAACTGCGGCAAGACCTGACTTGGCAGATATTAGGTGGTGGGGGAACAGGTGATGTAACACCTGCGAGACTCAGTGGGAAACGGCAGAGGTCACCGGGCGCAACGTGGCCAAGTGACCCGAGACCCGCGACGCCGACACCCGCCGTTCTACAACCCGGCAGCAGAAGGGCGTAGACCGGGATCGCCCCAGCGGCCGGGCCAGGACACCTGGCAGGTGCGGGCGAAACGGTCCTTAAGGACCCGCTGAAACCAGTGCGGAACAGCTGAGCGACGCGAAGTAAGGCCGGGAGGAGAGGCCACACTCGCCGGGGGAAGGCGTCCACACCCGCAGGATGCCCTCACCCGCCGGGGTCTTCCACACTCGCGAGGGCAGCAGCGCCCGGGGCCGACCCCGCCCCTGCGAGCCGACCGCGCACACTGCCCGCCCGAAACCCGCCCGCGGACGCGCCGCTCACGACCCACCGGGACCGGCGGACCTTCTCTGCGCCCCGCGGCCATAAAGGGGAAAACAGACACGCAGAGACCGAGAGGCGCGG